TTTTCTCATGTTGATAAAGCAGAGGTTAGTGTTGTGTTCACAGCTTGAAACACAATTTCTACATGTGAATTACTAGGAATATTTTTTGACTTTTTTCAAAGCCTCTTGGCTAGAAGCTGACATTTATATACAGGATAACTACAATAAAAATATTAAATTACTACAATAAAATTATTTCTACAGGTTGGAAAAATAGTTGTCAAGGAGATTAAGCAAAATGTGATTCTAGTTAAAGAACTAAAATAGTTTCTATTATTTGATTCATTTACTTTTCCAGAAATGCTTTACTGATGCTTTATGGTGAATCTATATTACAGTTTTACTAAACTGAGTATCACTACTTGAAATGAATGTGATCTCCCACCTGCTTATAGTAGATCCCACCTGCCAAGAAGGATCTTGATCCAAGAACTTAGGAATTTGATCTAGAATCATATCTCAGTTTATTGACATCTTAACACATTTCTGGTTTAGCTTAATCTGTCCCCCACTGACTTCAACAAGATAAAAAATACATTTAAACAACTTTTTTGCTATTTTTTTTAATATAATCATCTAAAAATGCCCTCCTCATCTAAAACTGTTCATGCGATGATTGCTTCTACCCATATGTAAAAATTAGGGATTAATAATTCAAAACTGTATTTTAAAATTACAAAGGTTTATCAGATAATCTACTGCAAATGGAACATATTTGTGCGAGTACTTTATTCTTCTCAGTAATACTACCAGAACCTGATCTTGAGTAATTTAGTCATAATTTGTAAGTACTTTTACCATGAAAGAGGGAAAATATATTTGCTAAAGCTTATGTCCTTATTTTATTATAAGTTACTGGGTATGCAAATTCGATCTGTCAAAGTAGTTTTCATTGACTGTAAATTCCAAGATGATTTAAAATTATATATTGTCATCCTTATTATACTGTTTGTGTTTAGACTTTCCAAAAGCAGAATGTGCATTTCTGTGAAAAAATACAGAGGCAGAGTTTTACCTCAGTAAAATTAAATGGATGTGCTCTATAATCTTGTAATGTAAACTCATCCTGCAGAAATAGTACATATGAAACACTCAAAAGAACACAACTAGTCTTTGCTGAAGAATTAAAAAATCTGAGAATGGAATAAATAGGCTTATTGACATATTTTTCTTAAAATATTAATTGTAGGATACTGAAAATGCATGATTCAAAAAAAAAAAAAGAAAAGGAAAAAAAAAGAAAAAAAAATAGAAAAAGGTCAGCAGAAGAACCTTCGACACCTTTGATCTGTAGTCACAACCCAGTGAGATGAATGAAGCTGTTCCCATGACAAAGGTGACTTTTGACCGTATCACAGCCTACAAATGCAAGCTTAGCATTTACTTTATTTCTCTTCAAATAACAGCTTTGTCAATAGCACAAGCAGCAAGCATCCAATAACACAGAGAAGAGAACTGTCAGGTGTGATTTTGTCATTGTTTGAATAAGCTCAGGAAGACTGCAGTCTCTTAACAGAATCAATAGGCAGCTAATGAGCACTTCAAGGCCTGAGGGGCTTCATCCAGGTAAAGAAGCCAACTGAGTAAAGTGCTTAAGCAGTTAGTAAAAATCTGAAACGCAAGCTTAAGTCTTATTTGTTTTATGGGGATATAAATACAGGATTAAAACTGCATGATTTTCTGAATTAGTGATGCTTAAATATATTTCTAAATTCTGAACTACAAGCTGCTTCCTGTACTTTGGTTAGAAAGTGTTTAAAGTAGGGTAGTTTACTTGAAATTGCAAAATCCTCCTGGCCACATCCAAATGTTACAGAAAACAAATGGAAGCAAAAGAATCTTCTTGCTAAATGTGCAGCTAAAATAATTCATATTCCAGAAAATTATTTCACACCAAGATAAGATCTGAGCTTGGTTCAACTCAAAAAAAGGGTTCTGTAAAACAGGTATCCAGGGGTATCATATTTATTTTCCCTCCAAGACTTCCCTGTCAAACATGCTTTGTTTGCAAGTTTAAAAATTGTTTGTTCTAACTTCCATCTCAATCTCAACCTGGGATTTGAAAGTTAAATTGGATTCTTCTCTTTTTCCCCATCACTGATTTTAATAAAGATTATTTTCTAAACTGGCTTCGATTGCTGGTGTAACCTCATTTCTTCAAATAAACTCTCAGAAAAAAAAAAAAAAAAGTGTCAAAAGTTATTTCCTTTAATAGGCTTGCTCTCATGCAATTAACTAGGCCACAGGGAGAATTCATAAACCAGATAAAATACAAATATAACAGTATGAATAATTAAGTATTGAACTATACTTTAAAGGAAAATGGTGGATTGTATAATCTTTAGATTAGAAAAGCTTTGATATCGTCAAACAAAATTGTGATGCCCTTCTACAATGGTTGTTTTATATACTTAGATTGCCAGAGCATAGAGGACAGTGACTTTTTTCTTTAAAAAAAGAATGAAGCCATTTCTTTCATTGTTCTCAAAATCACTTTCTGGCTTATCAATACTTAAGCCCCCCCCCAGTTCTTTACAAAATGTAAAGAACTGATTTTTTATAAATTCATTCTGCTTCAGATTTGATCAAAGTAACTTTTTATTGGCAGGTAATGTACTAGCTCTATGCCTATCCATACCAGTCTACATGTATGCTTTGTCATTTATCTTTGTCTAAAGCAGGTATAAAGCTGAAATACGAGCAAATACTATTTTTTTTATCTGTCAGCTGTATTATGCAAATCAATAAATGCTGCAGGAAAACGAAGTATACATTTACATATACAACTGCAATCTGTGGTTCTTTATTTTTAAAGGTTTCTAGAGCATGTATTTCATTTGATAAATTTAGTAAGAGGCAAATATTTACTATATTTTATTTTGTTAGGCTCCAGGGAGCTATCAAAGAGGGTTTTCCTACTTAAAGATCTTTCCTTCTGAGTTCTTGATATGTGAAAATACTTTATAATAAAAAGATATATGAGAAGACTACTCATATGAGGGGCATTAGTTCTGTTAATGTGATGCATGATGCAGCCTAACAGTCACGAGTTGAGCCATACTGCAGGTCACTACTCCACCATGACTGACTGAGGTTGTCAGTCAACATACAAGTTTGATGAACCATGAATTTCTCAGATGGAGTGAAATTAAATTTTAATATATATATTAGAATATGGCAACACTGACAACCTTGAAATCCATTATATACATGTAGAAAACAGTCCTAATTTCTCAAAAACAACATTACAGCTACATTCTCAACTTAAAATAAATGCTAAAATGTCAAACATGCATCACACAAGAAGTCCCATGTTAATTGTACTTACGATATATAAGCTTACACACATGTAATATACAGTTGCGTAATTACAGACTGGTGCAAGTTCCTGTCAGTATATGCATGTTACCTATACAACATTTGCAACACAGACTGACATCTTACGCGTATAACAGTGGTCTTTCTATATGCACATAAACAGTTTGGAAAACACATTGATCAGATTTTATCATTGCAACAGTTGGTGAGCAACCATGGAGTTTTCAACAAACTTTACTACTGCACACATAATGGACATCATTCACACAGACTCTATCTACCTGCAAAGACAGACTATACACATTTTTTATAAGAAACACATATATGCAACTCTGTGTGTATATTTAATACATGTATTTTCTCATAACCAAATTCCCATCCTGATCTTTAACTCAATACGAGGATAAAATGTACAGGAAAACTATCTTTTAAAACATTTGACAAGTGGAAGTCCATAATTGTTTTGTGGGCAATTTTAGCTTCTACATTTATTGACTAAAACAGTTTTTTTTGTTTGTTTGTTTGTTTGTTTTTTGCTGGGGTGTTAAAGGTGGCAGGTTCTTTTAGGAATAAGAGAAATAAAGATTTTAAAACCTTTTAAGTATTTCTGTTGTTAAACACTGATTTTTCAACATTATGGGAAGCAGATTCTGAGACATTTTTAAATCTAATTCCATTAGAAAAACATTTAATATTTGACTTTCAAAATATATACAAGAAGCCACCTGTTTAAATTTATTCTAAAGTTCAGAGATAATTTCCACAAATAAAAGATAGTATAATTGAGCAACTGCAATTCTAGTAATAAATAACCATTTCACACCTGCAATGCAATCAACTAATAAGAACTGGGAGTAGAAGGTGGAGCACAAAGAGAATAAATGTACCAAATACACTCAAAAATCTCTGAGAATTTAAACCAAATTAATTTGCAAAAGCAAAAACTTCGCTGAAAGGTTGTATCATGTCTTCTTGAAAAGGCATTTTTCATCCATGTTAGCAGTTTCATGGTAGTTTCTTAACTTCATTTGAACCAAAATGGGTGAGAGAAGTAGGATTCCAACAGTTAAAGTAAAGTAAGCATATCAAAATACATGCAATGGGCTTATTAGTTCAGTTTTGACAGGTTGCTAAACGGTAACTCAGAGTGAAGAGCTGAAAACATTCCACAATTAATTACCTCGATATGCACTGCCTGAGCCAGAGCCTGCAAAAGAACTGCTGACAATACTAAATTCGCGTTCCACTGCTCCTCCCGCCTCTCCCAATTTACAGGAGAATAGGAAATCATGAACAATTGATACACTCTGTTAGCTCCTATCATGGAGGGTGAGCTCACATGTAGCCTTAGGGGTATCTTACACAGTTTAATGCTGAAAATAAAAGGTAATGTTCTTGGCAAAGAGCTGGGGGGATTAAATTTGGAAGGCTTGAAGCAGCTTTGAATTGTAGTCAATAAAAAAGAACCAAATAGTAATTTTGTAATTTAACTGTGCTGGTTATGCCCAATGACTCAGACACTTGTGAAATAAACCGTGTAAATAGAAAAATGGCTTAACTCTTTCTGCAAGTATATTTTTTTCCCCTCTTCCTTCCTTTTCCTGTGGTTTCTTTGTTTCAATAAAACTATATGGTTACTTTCTCCAGCTTATTGTCTTGGGACAACTCATCAGTCAAAGAGAAACTATGCCGTTTTAAAATAGTTTTTTTTTTTTTTTTTTTTTTTTTTTTTTAAATTTGTTCTATGCTGTGGACAGTACCAACAAAGCTTGTAAAGATAAATGCCTAGCAGCTGTTCCAAGTGAATTAAATGGATGGCTGTCTGTTACATGCTGGTCTTACTGGAAACCCTACACTCAGGGTGATTCCCCTTCTGAAAACCAACTTGACATATCCAATTAATTAAATTTTTTCATAATGTGATGTTCAGCTTCCCTTGTTTCAGCTTCATAGAGGTGGAATGGACACTGGTCCCTACCAATTCCTCCAAGTCTTTGGCAACGCTGGTGCCAACCTGCACAGCTCTTGCACTCAAGATAGAATCCTGCTGATGAGAAATCTGATAAGCAAGATTCTGTTCTGAAGTCCCAAACTACCTCATGGCTGCAGCTACTGGTATCTGAACAAAGAAAGGTGGAAAAGGAGACCACTAAGTTCAGCCAGAGTGCCTGTTTTAGCACCAAAACTAGGCCCTATATTCCAGTAACCTGCAATAAAAAGAAAAAAAGGCCTTCTTGTAATGTAGAAGCAAACTAGCTCTACTGTATGAGTACCTAGATGACTAATTTGCCTGCTAGTACCTAAATTTAACTTTTTTTATAATTAAAATGGAATTACTTTGGTTTCTGTAATACAACTAAGCATGATATACATTTTTAACCACTTCTTTAATTGTAATCATTTTTGTGATTTCTCAAATAACTGATCCATGGAATGTATTCTAAATATTCCAAGCAATTCCGAGTATATCTAAAACTTAATTTATTTTTTTTTTCAAAAATACACCTTTATAATTACCTCACAGTTGTAAATTATTCAGATTATCATTATACTGATTTAATAAGATCATAACCACATTCAGTCTCATTTAGAAAATTACAGGACACTACAAAACAAGATTATTCTATACCATTTCACTAGTTGTAACACTAACTTCATGTTCACATTCTAGAATGTGATTTATTAGGAAAAAAAATATTTTGGTGAAACAAGTAGACTCTATTTTGAAATAAAATGAACTTTTAATAAAAGTTTATATATAAATTCATAAAGCCTTTCATTGGTGGAACTACTCAAAAGCTAAGGTGTTCTATTTTTTTTCTTAAATTTTATTATTGTCTTCAGATGGAACATAATTTAAACTAATTCTAAAAATCCTATCTGCAGTATTTCAAATGCTTGCTGTGTTGCTGTCTACTGAGAATCTGATTTTCCATTTTAAATAACTATTTCCTTTTATCAAGAAGCATTTAGAGAAAGACTAAGACATTTTTCAGTACGCAAAGCTATTCCTGCACATACAGTCACAAACTCCTATTTCTTCTCTTCTAGCCCTGTGAGTCCACAAGAGCAGTAGAAAAACTTCAAACCAGGCAATATTCAGGCTATGTCTCATAAAATAGAAAATATGTTTGAAACCTCACTTGCTAAAAATAAACTAATGCTGGGTGATTACTTCCATGATTGTGTGTTTAAAATAATAGTCACCACAGTGACTTCCTCCTATGGCTACCTGTCTAAAGAAAAGCTTGCCTCACTGCCATGATGCACTGAATGCAGCCAGTAGATATGCTCAGGGACCATCCACTGCACCATGAAGGCAGAATTGAGAGTCCCAATGAAGGTGGTACGCCCACCCACTTGCAGAAGGTGGATGCAGTTCCTCAGCTGTCGAAGGTGGTACATGGGTACCGGCTGATTTTCCTTTTTCTTACTCCTTTTTTTTTCCTTTTGTAACTCCAGCACCTATTTTTCATTTTTGCTGCCCTATATGCTATCACATCTCTTTTTGTATGACACTATGAGGTGGGTCCTTAAGCTTTCATTATTTTGAAAAAAAAATAAAAAATAGAATTATGTACTTTTGGAAAACAGCACCCTGATGGCTCATCTACAATAAGTTATTAATACAGAGTATGTTCTTTTTTATTGGTGATTTTACTATCAGCCTCAAGGTGGAGCATTGTTTTTGACAGTTTTTTAAGAACACTATTTTTTTCTGTTCTAGAGTAATGCCATTGAAGACTGGTTTCTCTCTAAAAATTACATTAACTAATCGCTTTAAGCTCCAGGAAAACAAAGTTCTAATTTTTCACAAGTACTTGGAAAAAAAAGCTAAGTGAAAGTAGTCTTAGATACAAAATATGTGATACTTGATATGAAATTATTCTTTCTTTGATTATACAAAATATGCTAACAGTATTGTTAACGTATTGTTAACATATGCTAACAGCATACGAAGTATGATAACAGTAAATATTAGTATTGACCAAAAAATGTTAATGAAGTTTTCATGTCATTACATGAATAACAAATTCTGTCATGAAATGATCTTTGCTACAGAAACAAAGCAATAGTTAGAACAGCTAATTTCAAAATTTGTGGTCTGGCCAACATAGTTCCATTTACCATATGATCAGGATGATCTCTACTACTCCTTTAAATACGGAATAAGTATGTTTTACTTCTCATTAAAGGAAAATCCCTTTGAATTTTACATTCTAAAGTGAATAAAATGAAGCTGGCCCCAGACTGCAAAATACAATGATAAAAAATAGAAAGATAAAATCATATATTATAAGTTCATTCCACAGCTCAAGAATTAATTAAGAATTTTATCCTCTCTACTGACGAGCTGGTAATCTACCAGCTGCATCTAAACTACCATTGTTCAGAATAATTTGTGATTATTTAGATTCCCCCTCATCCCCCAAGTGACCTTAATGTACTTCCCTACATTTCATACACCTTATCAAAAAAAAATTACTTCATCCTTGAAAAATAGCTCTTTCTGTTGACGGTATTTATAAAAATATCGAATACAATCAAACAATTTCAAGTAAGGAGAACAGACTGAATGCTACGTCAGTTATAACACCTCCTTAACTCTTCTTTCTAGCATAACAAAAATGTCATTATTGCTATTTTCTTCATCTTTTCCTTCAAAGTTGCAATTCTGTGGTAAAGGGGAAGACTCAGCTGTCTTGGGTAACGGACACATGGTCAGATTGTCCCTAGGCAAGCCCTACTCTTCTTCCTATTGCTTACGCATCTGTAATTTTAAGTCAAAGGGAAGGAAAAAAAAAGAGGATAACAGCAGCAACATGTTAGAAAATGCCTGCAAAGTTTCTCTCCTGTTTATAAAAATAACTAGAACACAGCATCCGTGTTTAATTCTGGACATTCATTCATGACACTATATTTACAAAACGGTGCACACATTCAAAGAGACCAACAAGCTTCTTTTTAAAACAGCAGTCTTTCCCTCTAGCTGATTTCTTCAGTATCATATAAAAATAAAAACAAAGGAATTCTTTATTCAGTTGGCTGTTATAAAGCATTGTATAATAATTTTTGGAAGATTTGCCATCCTCATTTTGTTTTCGCTTAATGCTTTTGAATATATTACACATACTATCTTCCTTCCTCAACTTCCCCAGTATTGTTACTAGAATTTTCCTTACTTCAAGTGGAAAGCAGGTATCTGAGCATGATGTTCTGAATCTACTCCATCCATTTTAAATTTTTTGCCCTTTTCACTGAACTGACTGACCCTTTAGCACTGCTCAGTTTTGAACTAGCAGCAAATGTCATTACCTTTCAATAAATCCTTTTTCCCACAAGTCACTCCTATTTGAAATGAACAAAATCTGTCCATGGTACAAATTCTAGTCATATTTCAGCTAGCTTCTGATTCACAAGAAAGAAATGTATCAAGTTCCACTCTATGTACCACAAAGTTCAGATAAAATAAGGAAAGAAAAAATAAGGATAATATGCAAGGGAAACGGAGAACAGAAATACTGGAGAACTGCATGGTGCAAAGGAAGGAAGCATGATGTAATATGTGAGGAAGAAGGAGCAGATTGTAAGAGACAGAGTCATTCAGTATAATGTGGAAATTTTTAAAGACCTTTGCCCTTATGAATCATGTATGGAAGAACCAGCTGAGACTCTGGACTGACAACTAGCAAATAAAATTTCATGGATGGTAATGTTTTCAGAGACCAAGGAAAGTAAAGGTGACCTCACTATGTAGTTTGCTGAACTAATTAGCTTGTTTTTTTTTGGAAGAGATGCTTGCATTTTTTTTTAATTATTATTATTTATTGTTGTGGTTGGCTGACATGCATTGCCTCTGGAGTATGTCCTATTACTGTTTTCACAAAACACATCCCAGCATCATTTCAGAGGCCCCCTCATATGAAATCTCAAAGATAGTCTTGGGGGCAAATAATAAGTAACCAAAGTCCCTTGCCTAACCTTTATGTTTTATTTTTATTCAGTATTCTAAATATTAATTGTGCCAACAGCATTTCCTCACCCACACCTCCATATTCCAATCCACTCTTAAGTGTTAGCTTGAATTTCACTCCACATTTGCAATGGCAATCACATATAGGAGCTATGGCTCAAAAGAGCAATCCTATAAAGCTACAGAATAATTCAGACATACTGGTGTGAAAGCTGTCAAAGAAAGAGAAAACTCCATTTTGCTGGACAAACAGTAGTCTTCACGGAGTTCCAAGTTACATCAGCAAATACAATTTTCTGGGGTGGCTTATCCCACTTCTTGAACAAAATAAGCTTTTTCTTGCTAAAGGACAATACCCATTAACTCTATCAGTATTAGGGCTTCATGCTGGGCTTCATACTGGCATAGGTATTTTAGTTAAGAGTCTGTATTTTGGGACATTTTCCCCCCCCTATTCCTAACCAGTATAAGCTACGAGCAGAATAGAGCATTGGATGCAATGAAGACTTCGAAAAATCATTTGTCCCTATCCAAAAAAGTTGTATAAGTTCTTTCTGTGAGTAGAGAAAGGAGAGAGATTTGGTCTGAAAAGTAAAAAAGATGACAGACTGAAGAATATATGAACAAATACCTTGCTGTAAGTCTTAGAGGTTCATTTCCAAATAAGAACTGAATCTATGATAGCAAAGACCTATGTGCTGTCCTCATATTTATGCACAAGAATTTCCACATTTTTTAGCAGCATCTGATCTACTGAACAAATCTTACAGGATATAAGCACTCATATTTCTTTCTGAGAAATCCTAGACAGAAATATTGAAGCCCTCCCTTTGGTTCTACATGATTATTTAAATTTCTCTGTACCTGAATTCCTTAAGCCATAAATAATATTTGCTTAGCTCTTAGAGGAGTGCTGCCTCATTAAGTAAGAGCATTATAATTATTATGATCAGTTGTTTGAAGAAGTGATCGAAGAACTATCAGCAATCAGCAAATCCTCCTAGACTGAAAATTAAAAGACTTGTACAGTGACACTAGGAAATAACTGAGTTTAAGAACTAAAGCAGAGCACTTGATTCACCAATTCAGAAAATATGGGGATCTGGCAACTGAAAATTTCATCTCCCTCTTCTAGAGAGATTCTATTCAGAAATGCGTTGGGGCAAGTCAAGTTCTTATGTTCTTCACCTATGGATGTATTTTCCTAGTATCTACAGAATCCTAGTACTTCTTATTAAGTTTCTGTCTCTATTCAAAAACAATTGTAAAATAATTATCACTTGCACTGAGTATATCTTTGGGCTGAAGTGTATAACCTACGGTCATTATGGGCACCATACTTACTATAATTCTTACCTTGTTTTACAATATATTCTAAAATAATGTCATTAGTTCTATGTTGGTTTATATAGAGGCTGAAGAGATTAATTTATAATGTATTTATAAACTTAAGTAAATACCCCTTAAAACAAGATTACTTCTGAAACTGATTTCTCACTCAACTATATCTCATCATTCTCTAAACAGATGAAAATATTAGAATTGTTAGCACGAATTAATGACATTCCTCTCTTGCTCCCATATTATAGTTTTTGCCTGTCCTTCAAATTAACTGCTTTTGATATAATGTCCTGTGAACATGTTTTCCCTTGCCTGAGAAACAGTCTTATTTTCATTTCACTTAGACTAATAGTACTCTGCAGCATCTCTTATAGGACATGAAATTAAGTTTAACCCCATTATGCATTGAACAAAATTATGTCCCTTGGATGTTCAAGGCAAACACATTCTCTTCTTCTACCTCTATTGCAACACACCATTGTTTTCCAAATGATAACACTATTCTATAAAAAATGAAGTTTTAATTAAGGTTTAAAAGGATAGATTTTGCTAACTAAAGCCTCCAAACTTTTAAAAGCAAATGAAGCTTGATATTCTTGAAAATATTAAATTACTATTTTAACATTGTGGGTCTAGTTTCAAAGAAGCTGCTCAGCCCAAAATGGTTTTCTAAGGAAAAAAAAAAAAAATCTTAATTAAATAAATAAAAAAAGAGAAAGTACTTAGTTTTTAAAAAGTTTTCATAGCTTGTACTTGGCAGCATAATGCAAATTTAAAGACACAGCCATCAGACATCCTAAAAAATCCTATTTTCAACTGACTTCTGCAGCATATCAGTAAATTCCTGCCCCCGTAGCAGCCACATTACTATTAGTATGTCCTCTGTACTTTTCCAGAATGTAACAACTTATAAGCAGGCCTTGGAATTACTTGCTATCAAATTTTACTAATATATTAATATTTAGTTATTTCCTCTGTTACAAAAAAAAAAAAAAAAATCAAAGAAATAAGTTACAGTAGGAAGGATAAAAATATTTTTACTGTCAATAGTAAAAAGAAAATCTTCTCCAGACAGTTTATTTTTATGGCGACTAAATGAGAGCAAAACAAACAAACATACAAACAGTTTTGAGAAATTGATTCATCTTGCATAATAAATTCTCAATAGAAAAATGTAGTCAAGTAGTCATAAATGCTAACAATCAATTTAATTCTGGCATTAGCAATACATGTCAGATGGAGTCTATTCAACCCTGCTTCAGAAAAATTTATATTACACTGCTGCTTTTAAAAAGAGCATGCAAAGTAAGTAGCATGATTGGCTGTGATCAATGGCACAAGCTTGCTGAATAACTTTGCTATGATTTATTTTCAGTTTATGATTTATGTTATCTTTGTCTTTTGTAAACATTTGTATCATAATCGTGAAAGTATTTTCCAATACAAATATCAGAGAGTTTAAGCTACACCAAATAAGAGGGAGAAAGAGGGAAGAAAAGCAAGCACCTTACAATAAAGTCTGCAATCTAGAAATCACTTTCTGAAGATCAGATCACTAATGTAATTCACCTAGCACAAAAGCATCTCTAAATTCATACCTTAGCCACAGCTTTCATTTTGTAAAAAGGAAATTGAATAATTGTTCCAAACCTACAGAAGAATCAACAAAAGGATTGATTCAGATTTCTGCACATCACTCATAACTGGTAGGGTCAAAATATACTCACTACCTACAAAATATGCTGACTACCTCAGCCTTCTCCATGTCTGTCCTCACCAGTTCTCCCATCTTGCGTATCAGGGGTGTACACTCTCTTTCATCTTCCTTGTCTGACCAGTGTACCTTCAGGATCTCTTATTCTTTGCATTCTTTGCTGAGTTCGGCTCCAGTCATGCCTTAGCTTTCCTGATCCTATCCCTACACACGTGGGCAGCATCCGTATATTTTTCCCAGGCCACATGTCCCTGTTTCCACTGCCTGAGCATTCCCTTTCCAATTGGACCAGCTGCAGGTCCTTACTGAGCCATGCTGGTTTCCTGCCTTCCCTTTCTGATTTCTTACATAAGGGAATTGCTGTATGAAAAGTGTCCTTAAAAAGATACCAGCTGTGATCAGGGCTTTTTAAGGGCTTTTAAAATAAGAGTACATGGTATCTTATAACTAAATAATATATTTAAAGAGAAAACAGTAATAAAAACAAAACAAAGAGATTACAAATATAGTAAATACAGTAATATTCATATACTGCATTAAATTCATGATGTGCTTAAAAGCATAGCATAAGTCATGTCTTTGATAGCTGGAGAGATTATTCATGTGAATTTAAAAGAGAAGTGTGCAAAATACCAGCAAACTATGCTGATTTAAACAACAAAAACTTAAGCAAAAAACATAGACAAAAGCTAATTGAAATAGTTATGGGATGCAGAGAAGACAAATCCAATATTGTCAAAATACCACAAGGTCTGGCATTTCAATATTCTCAGACAGCCTTTTTTGTTTGATTAAAATTTCAGTTAGTCTTTCTGTCCACATTAAAAGGAAGCTGTTTGTGCCCAGAGATGTTCAATAGGCAGCAGCAGCATGTTAGACTTCAGCTTGTTTATTGAGTCTGTCAATGTTTCCATGCTGGAGTGTTTCAGAAGTGCAGTTTCAGCCATTGTGCAGTGACTGAGTCAATGGGGTTAATGGTGGCAACGAATATAATAACTGTGTGGAAGCAAAGGATGCATTTAAAACACTTGAGTTAGTCTCTCATCTCTATTCCCTTCTTTTTAAAAAAGATACCTGTGATAGTCTCAAAAGAGATGCAAAGGAATTAACGTGTGACGAATGAGCTCTGCCTCTCCCAGGACTCGTATGCCATCTTTTCCAAGGAAGGCCATTTATTATAATTATAAGGAAACCATGCCTACTCAACAACAAACGCTTCAATCCAAGATTGTTTTCATCTTTCACCTCAAATTATCTTCATTCACTTACACCAATATTATTTTTTTCTGTTTGTGTTTTGTTTTGTTTTGTTTTTCTGTTTGTTTATTTTCCAGGACTCCTGTATGAAGAGAAAATTCAAAATAGAGTCAATTATGTTTGCAGTACATATGGAAACCACTTTATTACATCTACTGTGCAAAGGAGGATTTGAGAGCACCATGTTAGATGACCAAATGAGAAAGGTGTAACCTTTAATCTGCAACATAAAGTCCAGGTCATCTTTGAGAATGGTAGGCTGTCACCTCAAATATCTAGGAGTTGATCATGAAAAAGAACAGATCTTATAGAAATAGGCCCTTAATTTTCAGCTCATATACTGGACACCTGTGATTATAGACACAAAATTCAAAATTTCTAAGCTGTACCTTTGTCTGCATTTAACAACTAAATAAATTATTCCACAGGTGCTGCCTGAACAATATGAAAATTGCTCCGCACCAAGTCACCAAGTTACTAACCACATTTGCCTTCACGTTCTTTCAATCAGGGGTGTAAACACATTTTACTGCCATAGTATAAAACAGTCCACAATAAGTGATGGATTTTATAAGCTAGTAAATACTCATGCAGAGCCAGGAGATATTAGTAATTTGAACCTTAACAATCAAATCAATGAAACATTCAGACTCTGCTACTTTCTAATATTGGAGTCTCTGCTTTATTTTGATCTCCTGCACATAAAACAATCTTCAGTACATCATTGCATCCCACTGCAAAAACCTGGAATCATACCATTTAACTTGTTTTCCAATAAGATGCATGGCATAGTAAAAGCTTAGTCCATGGTTTCCTACATCAGATCTTGCGGAATATCAAATTGAGGTCTGCAAACCCTTCCTCCCAGGAAAAACAGTCCCTGTATTAAGACACTAAGAGATGTCTGATTAAAGGATTGGTAAATCAGGATTAAAGCAGAGGTCAACAATCCCAGTCCTCCTAAACACAAAGGCAAAACACATCTGTTTAGGGAGTGGAAGACAATTAGAGATGAGGGAACAAACCAACACAAGGGAAACCATACGTTTGTGCAAGAGCTAAATTTATTTTCATTATCTGCTCCAATAAAAGCATGTAACATCTGAAATAAAGTCCTTTGACACTTCCCCCTGCTCCACGCAAAAGGTAAAAACCATTTCTGAAGTAAAACACTGTGCCATCCACACAGTATTCCCTTTGCGAGGAGTAAGTGTGAAATGTCTTGCAATAGCTTTAAGTGTCCTAGTTTAAATATTAGATACAATAACTGATAAGAACAACTTTAGAAAGTTTAAGGAGCATCTAGCATGGGGAAGAACAAGCTAAATAAAAGAAAGTACCATCTATTTTTAATAACTGTAACCCTGGGAGAAGAACTGAGCTAAGCTATGTTACCAAATCACAGTTTATCTGAGCTGGGAATGCTCCCCATTATGTTCTGCAGGGAACAAGTAACAATGTCCATTCGATGGCAAGGGAATGAGGGGGGAAAAAGGGAATCATACACAGTTTTGAAGTTTTGACTAGTGAATGTGCAACAAAAAACTACCTGAGCTGCAAAAAAAAAAAAATCAAAACAAATTAAAAACTGGATGAAGGCAACAGTCCCAGAAAAATTCTGCTTATCATGATGACCACGGATGAATGACTCAGGCCTGTATGGAAATGGTCAGAAAAAATGGGAGAGAAATACACTGATTCAGTGTCTGTCATACACCCAGGACAAACTCAAGACAAAACCATCTGCTCTCTGCCATATTACATACTCCTGGACTGTAGTGGGATCGTTAAGCACAAAAGACAGCATGTATAATTTACAACTCACCATATGAGCAGTGGAAAAAATACCATCCCTCTTAGACATGCAGACCTACTCAGTATGTGTAGGTCTGCATGTTATATATGTAGGTCTGCAGTATGTTACACTGTAACATGATCCACCTCTAGTGCCATTAAAATGAATAGGAAACATATTGTCCATTAAGATACTGCAAATAGGTTATTCCCTATTTTAGGCCACTCTGTGGACACTCAGTCATGAGTTATATACAACAGCCTCCCATAGCCTGTTCAAGAAAAATAGACCATTTAAGACTTATGATAAGAATACTAATAATGTTTAAAATTAAGACTTATGATAAGAATACTAATAATGTTTAAAATTAATTTTAAAGGTTTGCTTGGCTTCATACAAAGATTTATGCAAATACTAAGTCTTGAGAAGTGCTGACTTGATGAAAATCTTAAGTGTGATCTTCCAAATTTTATTACTGCCATAGAATTTTGCTTACCAATCAGAGAATGTGCACAATAATGCTGCGATACATAATAAATGTTTCATTTTTAATAATTTCTGAGAAATCAAAGTGTGGGTGAAAGATAGGTCTATTGGTTACAATTTCAGTACTGTTAATTTAAATGGAGGTTGTTCAATGAACAACATAAAATAGAATTTGAATATTGAATTAGTGAATTACAAAATGGAGCTCAATAGATTTGCTCAAAATATTTCAGACCTGAAATGACTGCAGTTCTTGTTCTACTTGCTACATCATACCTATACGCCTAATTCTCACTATATCTGGATATTTAAATGTAGTTTAACCAGGCTTATTCGTAGCTGCAAAATTTGACATATTTTTAAAATAACTCTATTGATCATTCTGAGAAGCCTGAAAGTAAGTTGAGCATATTAATTTTCAGAATGATATATAGGTTCGTGGATGCCACATTGATATGTTGCTCTAAATGGTACCTATTATTCCAATGTGAATGAGGAAGAGGAAGGAAAAACAATATATTTTATACTCACCCTAACTGCTAACCAAAATAACTCAATAAAAGCTTTAAAGGGTAAGAGAGACTATTTGAAACTTTCCTTATGCCAAAGACCATAGAATTCTTTTAGTAATTTAAGAACTGAAAAGATTACTTCTTTCCTACTAAATAAGTTAACACTGTTAACCCCAATACAATGTGTTTGAAACTAGAACACCTTTTGCTTCATTTTCTTTTTCATTTCATGTACAGGCATTGCTGATGGTCTCAGTACAGGTTGTGAGGTAGGCCTAATTAAAAAGCTTTTAGTCTTATGTTTAACTGTGTAGAGAAATTAAATAAAATTATTGCAGAGTTTAAAGGTTTTGTTACTGGGGAGAAGTCATCCAAAAGTACAGTTAAAAGCATACGAACCTCCTTTTCCTGTTAAAAAAGATAGATGATAAAACAGTTCTTGGCTTTTAAATTTTCTATTTTTCATCAGAATTTCTCACTGTGTATCTTATGGATGTCTTATTGATAACAGTTCCTGGCATTGCAGAAGATGAAATTATCAAAGTCAAATTGATATACAATGGCAAAAGCTGCCAATGAAAAATGTTCCAAGACAGGGCTCAATCCACAGCTGCCTTACTTGCAGCAATTCTCAGACATCCTCTGAATACTTCTGCTAAAAACAAGCCTGTATATTGTACTGATTATTATGACCAAGCTGAATATAAGCATAATGACTCCAGTCGTTTTGCAATAGATTTGGGGTCAGAGCTGCCTAAATGGTAATTGCAAATACAACTCTGATATCTTAATAGTGTAGTAGTTTAAAACTAGCTAAGCACCACTGCACCATTCTCTCTCTTTTCCTTCTCAGAAGGACAAGGGGAGAGAATGGGATGGAGAAAAATCTTCTGAACTGAGGTAAGGACATGGAGATCAGTCACCAATCACTGTCACGAGCAAAACAGACTCTGTGAACTTGAAATAAAGATTAACTATAGTTGTATGGAAAGTAGAGGAAAAGTACAGGTTCTTCCTAGAGACATATGCAATTGAGGTTTTACAATTATTCTCAGTTACAGGTAGTGTGGCAAGAAGAAAAAGAGATGGACTTAATTTTGCGCACCTCCATGCACACTGTTGGTTTGACTATTTGAAGCTAATCATTTCTATTTTCAAAGATTTACTCTATAGAGAAGCAGAGATGCTTCTCCATTTGGTTTTAATATCCCACAGCCATGGTGCTCTGTTTCCATATGAACACAGAAGTGGTGCATACTTACTCCTTGAATATTTTAAAAGTTTTGTCACTATTAATATTGATATGTGTTATCTAACTGCCTTAGGCTTTGCCTTCATACAACAGAATAGACATGAAAGACAATGCTTCTAGCAAAGTAGTCTCTTATTATCTTTAGCACAAAGTACAGATTATTGCAAATGTGAATTCCAAGATCTGTAGCCCTGAGAAATACTGTATTACACTGATACTTTGCCTCAGAGAGAAATAAATACAATGATTTCAATTAGAGTCCCTTGCATGGTTTGTATTTTGAGACACATTATTTCATAGATATGAATATTGACAGCATGAAGCCTACAGAAACCATAGGGAGTAAAACGTGACATTTTTTGACTATGAAAAGTAGTAGAATAAAGTTACGAGGATGAGGCAACTCATCGTACACTGTACTGATCAATGGCATATAATCACTCAATGAGAAATGTGTAACATTTGAATAGTGATTAATACATGATCTACTTTAGTTGTTCTACAGCAATGCTCTATGCATATATACCAATGCAACAAAAACTATCCAAGTAGGACTAGCACTTACTCCTAAAAATAGAAGAAATTACATAATTTAAATTATTCCTATAAGCACTTCAGTAAAATTGCTTGAAAACGTTAATTGGTTTTGACTAAAAGTAATTGCCAACACTTGTATTTCATTTACATGAGCATCAAATGCATTGGCTTTATTATAGAAGATGTATACTAGGCTCAGTCAGATTACTTTTACATGTCCATTTTCCAAGCAGTGTAAAAAGAAGAGTCCGTTCTTGAAAATTCAGACCCTCACCCTCTTTCAACCAAGCCATGTTAGAAGATTAAGCAGATAAAGAAAACAAACAAAAGCTGACAGGAAACTGAAAGGATACAGAATTTAGTAATGATAAACCGTCAGAAGCAGGGAAACCTATTTTTAGTCTGCAAAGTAATTGAAATAATTTGTTTAGAAAACAGTGAAGAAAAAAACAGTAAATACTTTGGAAACTGCTGGATCAATTGGCAAGTGTTGAAAGCACAGCAGCCTTAGCAACTCAAGGACATTTGTATTAAGCAAGAGACACACAATTAAGCTGCATCTCAAGTTAAAACCCTGAGGGCTCCACATTTCATTCTAGTCAACTACTGCTGTTTTTGGCACTATTTTCATTGCAAATATGAGTAATGTGGGCCCTTTAGTCACTATTAGGCAGTAATCTGGGGAAATCATCCACTTCCAATAATCTTATACTCCGATTTAGGGCACTCTGAAACCACATAATGAATAATACTGTCACCAGTTCTCCCCTATAATGACACACGACATAGGCCTACTACTGGTCTTTTCAAATCAAATACAACTGTGTTGTGTTTCAGAAAATCCTATTTATTGTATTTGAGTTTCTTTCTTCACTCATTAGACATACATTTCTGCTTCACAAACCAGATATTCATTGTTAACTTTGGCATTCAGAAAGTAGAGGACTCCTTTGCAATCAAAATAATTTCTTCAAGTGAGTAATACTGTGTTAGGTTACAAGTTATACATAAAGCATGTATATTCACTGTAAATTGCACAGCTAATTTCTAGACTTTCCACTGTTCTTGATATTCAGATTTTACCTGCTACTGAGGTCTGCCACTGCAAAATTTGGAAGGATGACTTTCCCTGTTGACAAACAGTGAAAAGCTACTATATAGCTATACTATATATAGCTAACAAAGCTGAATGCCAGAACAAAACTAAGCCATCTAAACATTTTTATGTTTTATGACCCTTTTGCTTTCCCAGCCTTTGGAAAATGCTGGTCAAGTTCTAAGGAATATAGCAAATTTAAACCTATGCTGGCAATAGAAAAAACAACAACCTGCAACAAAGAAAAATATCTTTTAAAGATATGCAAAGATTTCAAGGAGAAAACAGTCCCAGAGATGAAGGTAGAAAATTTTTGATAATCCTGCTTTTAATAAATTGAAAATTCAACCTTTACCTTACACATACAAGATAGTTTAAAGATACACTTTACCAAAACATTGCTTTCCTTTTTCTCAAATA